TTACATCTCGTTTTCTTTCCAGAGCAAGAGCAAATCTTAATTATGCAGATTCCACCGCTGGCCAGAAGATTAGGTGGCTACAGTCTTGTACGGTGCAGAGCTTACTCTGCTGTACTTTTAAATCAAATGTCACCTTGGGAAAACATAACCCAAGTTTCTTCAAGTGACTGGTAAAAAACACACAGGAAGATGCTGAAGGACGATAGAAATATGAGGATGAAGAAGTGACTCCTTACTTCTCGGGTGCCCCTCCACTTACCAACAAAGATAAATGGACACGAAATTTTGCGGGCAAATTTCCCTTATTGGGTCCTTTTTGTTATTGAGGCAATGTTAAGCCGCACAAAGAATCAAATTATATGCATGTATTTTGATAGCGGTCATGGAAATTATATGATTTCTGCTCAATGCATTTCTCAAGCACATTTTCCTGAAAAAAAATTTCGACTAAGATTGAGCATTTGTAATTATATGCCACAACAAATTATCTATCCGCAAGTTCCAAAGTGTTCATACTTAGCTTTTAAAAGATTTCGGGTTGATTAGAGCGACGACGTTGGTCACTTCATGACCATTTTCACAAGGCTGGTATACTTATCAGTTGGGATGAAGATCAATTAACATTTTATCTTTCCATGTATCTTCTGTTAAATTTGATGTCAGCGTATGGTTTAAAGCTTCGAAAATTCGGGTATCGTTAATTTTGACAGGTTTTGAACGTATATAGTTTGTTTTTGTCCACTTTTCTTCTCACTTCTAAGAATAATAATGAAACGCCAACGACCTATTTTTTTGGAATTATTTACTGTGCACTAGGAGAATTTTGGTAGTCAAGTGTTACTGATAAGGTACATTGTGATGGAATTTCATAACATATAAGGAAAAGAACAGTTTCATAGATGAGGGAAAAAAATTGATGTAGGGGGTCGAACTCACGTACCACGCTCTGCCGACTGGGCCTACAGACGTTGCATACCCTTGCCCATTATTGCTGTTAGCGGTAATTTTTTGCCTTTTAGCTCTACTTTTTCCCCGTTAGAGCGGTTTATATCCAAAGCTGAAGAGCCGTTATGTAAGGCGAGGAGCTGAGTCAAAA